CGACCTGCAACGCGGTCTGGCGGAAGACGTTCTCGGAGCGGACGCTGGCGCCGGCGTCGAGGAGGACGCTCGCCACGCTCACGTAGCCGTGCTGCGCCGCCCAGTGCAGCGCCGTGGGGCGCAAGTGGTGCTGCGCGTCGACCGTATCGGCGGACGCGCCCTTCCGCAGCGCCTCGCGCACCAAACGCAGCTCGCCGTGCCGCGCGCCGAGGAGAAGCTGGCGCACAGCCTGCGCGTCTCCCCCGGGAGTTGCGGCCTCCTCCGGCTCGTCGTCGCCCGCGGAGCCGTGCAGCGCCGTGACCGTGTCTGCCAGCAGCCGCCGGCAGCAGAGGGAGAGAAGGCGGTTGAGGTCCGCTGAGACGTCCGGAGGCAGGTGTGGCTGGTAGACGGGACGTCCGTCGTCGCCGAGCGGGGCGCCGTGTCGTGGGCAGAAGCCAGTGCGGGAGAGAGCGTCCTCGTCGCCGCAGTCGCAGCTGCCTGCCGCCTGGACGATCCGGTAGTCGTGGCCTGCGTGCTCTCCCGCCTGGAAGCAGTCTGGGCAGATTGCACACGACGGATCGACCTCGCACACCAGGCAGCGGTACGCGATGCTGCCCCGCCGCCACGAACGATTGCAGACGCTCAGGCAGGGCTTATCCGCGGTGCAAAGCGCTGCGAAGAAGGCTTGTGGCGCCTGGCCCTTTGTGATGCGCTCGAGCAGAGCGTGGAGGGTCTGCTTGAGCCCGACCCCCCCAGCGCGGTCGGTGAGCTCGCCTGCGCCGCCGAGGACGCCGGCGTCCACCATGCGCTTTGGCGCGAGGCCCCGTGCGCACGAGAAAAGAATTTTCGCGTAACCAACGCGGCCAAAGCGGGGTTTGCCAAACCCAAAGGACATCCACCTCGAGAACCTCGAGACACGAGAGCAAGAGGTGGACTAAAGCCGAGCCTGGCTGTTCTTCACCTTTCTAAAGAAAGAAAGAAAGAAAACAGACACGCCAAACGAGGGATGGGACGAGGACAGGGTTCACACCTGCACGAGCAGGATTTTGGAAGAACGATCAGGGGGACAGGTGGGGCTCTCCTGCTCCTGACAAGGGACACGACAGGCTCGCAGCGCGGTGCGCGGTGGACTCCCACATCCACTGGCGGTCTCATCTCAGTCTAGCGACCTGCCTCCAGCTTGTCGCTGGCAGTCTCTCCTACCACAGGCACACTGACACAGGGGTGGCAGGGGCGGCGGCACGAGTCTCCCACATACTATGCGGGCCTCACTAGAGGTGCGGCCTGTGCGTGTCCTCGCCCTTGAGGGGGGAGGGGAAGGGGCTGTGTGTCTGTGCATGTGTGTGTGTGTGTGTGTGTGTGTGTGTGTGTGTGTGTGTGCGTGCGTGTGCGTGTGCGTGTGCGAGCCGCCCTTCACCTTTCTACCTACCTGTGATGTGAGGTTAAATTTATTTATTTATTTACCGACTGCACTCCAAGTGCTCCAAGTGCGGTGTTGCTGCTCGTCCTCCCCTTTTTTAATTTTATCGCCGCACGTGCACGCATCCAACGCGGTCAAAGCGGGGTTTGCCAAACCCAAAGGACGCCACCTCGAGAACCTCGAGAGACGAGACACGAGAGCAAGAGGTGGACCAAAGCCGAGCCTGGCTGTTCTTCACCTTTCTACCTACCTACCTAGCCGAGTATTCTCGGCACGGCTCTACGACTTATTTCCAAAATTAGCTCTGTGAACAGCGCCTTGGGCTCAACGAGGTTTGCCTCTCGCACCCCGTCTGTTTTCCTTTCCTTTTTTCTCTACAACACCCTCTCTTTTCCTCTCTATTTTCCGGGGGGAAACTGCGTGGAAATCGTCAAATTTTTGGCTCCGAGCCGAGTCTGAGGCTGGTTTGGGCCCAAAATCAGCCAAATTCTAGGCCAAATCGTCAAAATGCCGGGAATTTCGCGGAGAACC